AAAAAAAAAAAAAAAAAACATGGTGTAGTCAAAATTGAACACAAGACAAATACCCTTTATTTCAACTTGAAGGGGAGGAAAATTAAATAAGACATTTTTTAAGTATTTTTCTATAAGGTACAACAGTTAAAGCACAGCACAAAAAGGCAGCTCAAACAACACACTCCCCCAATAGGAGATACATACATACAATACACCTATAGATATTGAACAGGGGTACAATGGTCAACCTTCACAATCACTTCCTCTGTTTCAAATATTATTACCAGCTAATTTCTTGTGTGCAGTAATCTTTTGGGTAAGACAGACCTGCAGGAAATACAAAAATAGTTAACAAAAAATAAAATAAAATAATTTTTTGCCCGAATTGATAAAATCTGAAAATCCAGGCAGCATTTTCTTACATAAAGTATGGGCTGGAAATAAATTAAAAAAAGAAACATCGTACATGCATTTTACTCAGCGTCTAGTCCTTCTGGGCATACAGCGAAATTCGGCTAACAGTGCAATGTGATCAGAAGACCATTCAGGAGAAGGAAGGGCCGTGTCTTTACGCAAGTCAACCTCATCCAAGAGCTCCAACAAGGACTCCACTGTTAAGGAGTCGGCTACAAAAGGGTAAATCAAATTAGTGTTGATATGTAAATTTTCTTTCCTTTTTATCGCTGTCTATTAGAATTTTAGGGAAAGCGGGTAGTATACCTGAGTAAAATATATAATCATGGGTGCCGATAAAATCTCTAGTACAGTTTGTGAACAGAGGCTCGTTTGTAGAAGGATCCATTCCCCTTCTCTGCGCAAGGCCATAACCAACCACACCTCTCGCAAAGGATGAGTAGGCACTTACCTAAAGCATGCACAAATCCAACAAGATGCAAATTAGGTCTACACTCTTTCTTTTATTATTACTTTTTTGAAATAAATTAACTAACAGCTGTTTCAATACTTAAAACAGCAGTAATTTGGTTTATACCAATGGCAGCTGATGCGTTAGTTTAGCAGTTGGTCGAAGGATTCCAAGGGGGTCGATGGTCAAGTCGGGATGAAGTGGATCAACTTTCCCCATAGCAAGGAGGGTATGAGGGGCACTGTGTGGAGAACCGAAAAATGTGAAACTTCAAATAAATAGCTGATTAAGCTAAGAGGATTATCATTGATAAAAATAAAATAAAACAGACGTGTGAGAGCACCTTCCAGGTACTGAACTGAAATCACCACAGACCAACATTGGGATGTCTGCACTAGCAGCAATTTTTTCCAGACCTTTCAATAATGTATGAACCTGATACGGGAAAAAAATGTGTAAAAAAATAATTAAGAAACAAAAGTCAATAATTCACAGAAATCAACAATCTAATGACTGACATAGAGATTACAGAGCGTGAATCAAGAATGAACCTGCCAAAGTTTGACATCTTTCAACTCTTGAGGCACATTTACATGTGTATTCGCCTGGTTTTTGAGAAAGAAAAGGTAACATAATAACATTAACAAAAGCGAAATATAAGCAATAACCCGACTCAAATTTTCCTAAATATTTGTTCATTTAGGAAACCAACAAGAACGGGGGATAGAACAGCCAAACGCACTAATTTAGCTGTCCTGTTGAACATTAAAGAATGTAAAATATAGGTGCCATTATGAGGTGAAAAAAAACTAACCACACAAACAAGCTGACGCTTCCCAGGGTTATCAATACTTTGGCTACCAAACTTGGCTTCAAGGACTAAAATCAACGCAACATTATCCTGTTTGAAAAGAAGCATGTTAAATGCTATCTATATCGGATATATGTGATAATTGATAAAATGAATGCATTTAACACTCCATAAAAAAGATGGTGCTTTATCGTACCTTGACCAACCGATTTAGTGCATTTCTCTTTTGTGCACTAGGAACCAAAGCATCAGTTAGAGAGTGTGCAGCTTTATTAAACTCAACCTACAAGCATTGATGTATTTAATTAATAATAATTGAGCTTGGAATTGTTAGGCAACAAACATGATGGCAGCTTGGTCACCTCATATTTTTTGACGTGAGAGAATCTATCACGACGGAAGAAAGTAGCACAGCCATCAACAGTGTTGATGGAAGCAACAAAAACCTATGGAGGGAAAACATCACAGTGCATCAGCAACAGCTTTAACCTCACCATCAGAATTCAAAAGGATTACTTTTACCAACCTCTGCTGTTTTCCTTTTAAAACAAGCTTGATAACCATGTTTATCCATCTCCGGAGCAAAGAATTCCTCAAAATGATCACTTTGAACCTGAGAGGAGATCGCGAAAAAGGAGTGCACACAAGGAAGGTGATAGCAACTTAAAAAATAATAATAATAATAAGCCTGAACAGTAAGTGTTAAATTCAACTTCTATAACAAGAACCTAGACCACCTATATCCACCAACAACGTACTTTAGGAAAATTCAATACGCCTTTCAAAAAATTCCTATAATATACACTCATAAAATAAGATCATTCCTAATGATGGAGCGCACCTCTTGAAGACAGACGATATCTGCATGATAGCCAATTATTTCCCGCAAGAGGTTCTGCCTACGGTAGGTCCAGGAAAGAGCCCAACTCGGGCAGTAGCTATATGATTCGCTCGTAGCATACTTATCTGACAGGATATTGTACGAGAGAACCGTAAAAGCTCCAGCCGACATAATCCGTCTGTCCAGACCCAAACTTCCAGGCATGTCGATCCCACTCAGCGGGATCAATCGCCGCGGGCTGGGGGAGGGCGCCGGGATCACGCGGGAGGTCAGCAGCGTATTTGTGGGCCCCACGGCTAGCTTCGTCTCGGCATCAACCACAGCGCACTCGAATTTAAGAACGTGGCCAATGTCATCGACTGTAGGTGTGTATGTTTTGTGGTACCCAACCTCGAACCATGTCTCACTGCCGTTCCTCTGAGCAACCGCAGCCGGGTAGAGGGTTGCACTGCTGTTGGCCAGGTTGGGGTTAGACTGAGAAGTCGGCAGGCTCACACCACCGGTGCTGTTGAAGCGGCCGAAAATCTCTTCATCCTCATTGCTATTTTCGCTGACAGCGCTGGCAGCACGTTCATGGAGGACACGGTGGTGGGGCCAGGAGTCGGCGAAACATTTCGAAGAACAATGGTAGCTCTTGGTGACGGGTATTTTCGCCTTGACACATAAGAGACACTGCAAGCTTGCCTGCTCGGTTGGGTGGATGCTGCAGACTGCAACTTTTCGGTCACTCTGCACACGGTACCTGCATGGGAGCATTTATTTGTACGTGAGCACAAACATGCGTTCGTACAAAAAGCACACGGATAGTCATGGTGGTATCTTGTAATTAAGAAAACAACGTATCTGAACCAGACTAACTGATAAAGAACTTTAATTCACAACTCGAGTACGTTGTTCAGATAGGCATCTGGTGGAGATTCCAACAATTTTGCATTCAACTTTAAGATAAATAACTCAATTAGATTCTAGCTAGAGATTACTTTTCTGTTAACTATTTTTTAACTGTATTCGCTGGATAGCATGACTTAAATTCAGGAATTATTACACGACAACAACATTGACTTTGAAAGTCTTCATTTTCAGAAATTAAATGCATATTGATACTTGCTCCACATGACGGCATCGATTTTAAAGTTCATTTTCACAACCTATACACGTAGAAACAATCAAACAACATGATAGATGGAAAGTAAGGGCATCTACTCAATTACTAATTTACATTCTGGATTGGGCTTCGAATGACCCCCTTTTGAAAAATAAGGTAAAGACAATGATTGTGGCAATCAGCCACCAAACACGTGTTACGCTCGAATTAGGCAATTTCTTCCAACAGAAACAGTACCCAAGTCCCTGGTAACTCACACATGCCAAAGATAAAGCATTAATGGCAGAGAGATTCTGACACGTAGCTTCCAAACACATGCATCAAGCGGATCAAAAGGCCACGAAATATAAAAAAAGGTAAAGGAATTTCAAGTCAAGTATCATTTTACCCATTTTGTATTCCCTCGGCTTCAACAAATGAACACTATGATACTCGCAACTTTCATACACAGACAGTAAGCAAATTGCCTACTAACCCACAAATCGATTACCTTTATTCTTCTAATTTTAAACTTAACATGCAAAACTTATCACCTCAGAACTCCACAAAACCAGCCTTTGAATATCAATTCATACAACTGTTCGTCATCGGTAGCACATGCATGACAAGGAATATTCATCACAGCAGAACAAAACGATAAAAACAGCTGAAAATCAACACTGGTAAAAATCAATGCTCAAGCAAACTCACCATTTGTATGTCAAGAAATGCCCATCAACCGGATTCAGCTCAGCGACATCTTCTGTAGTGATGGACTTATCGGGGCGCTTCAAAACCACATACGGAGTCAGCTCGCATCCCACGATCGGTATATCTGACGGTAGGTGCACCCTTAGCACGCTCAGCATTTTACCCTAACCTTAAGAGAGTTCAACGGCTCAGCCACCTCTTCAAGCGTCAGCTCAAACCCAAAAGCAGAGAAAATCGAAAATCCAAACACCAGCTCTCCGCGGACTTGTAGCGGATCCGCCATCACCGGCACCGGGAACAAATCGCCAGCTTTGCGCTCCGAGGGACCTAATGAATTTCAAGAATCAAGAATCAATTTGCAGAAAAACTCGATAGGAGGGATTCGACGATCTTTAGGAAATTGAAAACGGGGTTGTTGAAAAAAAAAAGATTGAAGCTTTCAGAGGGAAATGAGGTTGCATGCAGATGAAGAAAGAGAAACAGCTGGAGATTTTACAGATGAGCAACAGATACGAGTCGGAAAATGGATTTAATTTGGGGAATTAGGGTTTTACAGCATGAACAACAACAAAAACAATTGACAGAGAACAAAGAAAGGGTGGGGAAAGCAGAGAGCAGTTGACTCACTGTGTATAATAATATGTGAGGGAAATCAATTTTGGAAAAACGAGAAATATCTCCCCCTTACATATAAGCAAAAATGTAAAGAATTGTGTGCCCGACACGTGTCAATTTTTTTGGGACATAAATGCCCTCCAATTTCACCTATTTTTACGGTACTGCCACTGCTTTGAGTGTGAAATGGGTAATGTTAGCAGTAAATATGTCTGACACACGCACGTTTTCAACTCTGATACGAAAAAACCCTAAGCGTGTGTTTGGTTCGGGGGAATAAGAGAAGAGGGGAAGGGAGAGGAGGGAATATTTTTATTTTTTCCTGTTTGGTTCAATTTTGGCAAGGAAGGAGAGTAAAATTTTCCCCTCCTTTCTCCCACCCAAGGGAAAATATTTTTATTTTCCCTCCTCTTCATCTTCTAACCAAACAAGGTTAATCATTTTCCTTCACCTCCCCTCCTACAAATCCCTCCAAACAAGGTAAAATTACTTTCTCTCCCCTTTCCTCCCCTCCCCTCCCTTCCATTAAATTCCCTCCCATCCCTCCTTTGAACCAAACATAGCCTAAATTAAGGGATACCATTCATTTTCTCCATTTTCCAACACCAAATCTTACCTTCCCCGATTGCACATTCGTCCATTCTCAAAAAACACAAAACTTGACCCAAAAAATTCTAACCGGCGGAAGACGGGGAACTACCCCACCTCTAGCGCCAATGAATGGCGCTGACTCACTGCAGGTGCGCCGTCACATGGAGGCGTTCGGAGTGTCACGATGGTGGCGTAGCCGAACAACACATTATCGAGCCTAAGCGAAAAGAGAAGCGAACGGTAGGCTACAGGTTCTTTTTTTTAACCTTTTTCCTACGTTTTTTTTCCGAATCAATCGTCGATCTGCATGTTTCGCGAAGCTTTTTTCTCCATCCCTTGGCTGAATCGCAAATTGTGTCGTGTGTGTTTGATTTTGACACTGTTGGTTTTTTCTTGAGCAAGCGAGAGAGCTCTCGGGGTGGCAATTGTCGTGGTGGTGAAGGAATATGAGAGGATTTTCTGCAATTTCGGCACTCATGATCACTGTAGTGCCTGACATCCATCTCCTCGACCCGCGCCCACGATGACATCCATTCTCTTCCTCCCGCTCTTCTCCGGTTTCAGTCTCTCCTCCTTTTCCATTTGAATTTCAGTCTTGATCTCCACATTGTGTTCTGACCTTTTTTTTTCACCATTAGTAGTTTATTTAGTACTATATTTGAAAATTCGGAGGTGATGTAAGACGAAATATTTAGGTTGTGCAGTGTTGGAAATATTCGATACATAAGTGCATTGCTTTTTCATATCTTATTAGCGATTATTCATCATCTCTTTTTATTTGGGTGCAGTAGCATAAAGTACAATATGACAGTAAGTGTTGAAAGTCAATAACTTCTTCTAATATCCCTTGATTTTTCCAAAATTGCTTTGTAAAATTGATTCAAATATAACCTTAAAAACTTCACAGATCAATCTGTTTTTTTCTGCCACTGAAACATTGATTACATAAAGAAAATCACGGTAGTCTCATAAGGAATCATTGAAGTGTCTTGCCACTAATATACTTTTCAGTATTATTTCCAGCGGCATCAGTTTACCATGTTGTTGGTTTCCCGGTATTTTCTATTGTAATTTGTGTTGTTTCTTTATGGACATGGTAATATTATGGCTGTGGAAGTATTTTGTGTGTAAAGCCATGTCCGGTCTATAATAATTGTTGTGTTGAATTATATGCAGCTCGGCTTATGGAACATGTGCATCAATCAGGAGGTAGTGAGGGTTCTGGGTCGGGCATAAGCAGACGACAATCTTCTAATAATTGGAGGGCCAAAAGACAGCGGGTGCCTCAGTCTGCTTCGTCAATTTACAGTACGTAAACTGGCACTCGACCAAACTTAAGGTCCGACGTCTTGCCCACTATCGTTCAACCTGGGTTGGTTTCTTCCAGTACCACCCTTCAAGGCCTACAACCGTCAGGTGTGCCATTGCGTCTTAAACTAACTCGAGTCTTTTTTTTTTGGTGTTTTGGGTGTTGTTATTTCACGAAATTATGTCGCATTTGTGTGAGCATTCTTAACTTCATCATCTAATAAATTATTTTGTGGTTTGGGTACATGTTTTGGTGCCCTGCCTTTCACAGACAATGTGGGTTTCGTGGATGCCCGGTAGGTACTCTTGGGGTTGGATTGGAGTTTTACTTTCAGAATGTTTTTTATGCATGCAGGCTATACTTTACTAACTGTGCGTGCCTGGGTTTTTCTGCAGGTCTTACTACAGGTCGGGACCGCAGGACGAGGCGCGTTCATGCCTAAGGTTTTCTGCTCTGTCTTTGCTCAGTTTAGAGAAATGGTTGTACCTCAGTTTTGTCCGTACGTCGAGCATTTCCAGTGCGGCTTTGTCCGATCAAAGTCCTGTGTGTTAGACCAAATTCAGTTACGTGGGTCGGCGGGAGAAACTTTTGGTGTCAGTTTTGTATTAATTAGGGTATCTTCCTTCGGTTATGTGATTTAAAAATGTGTGCCACCACATAACAAGGATCATTTGTACTCTCTGGCTTTATGTGTTTGGGGATATTCAAATTGAGCTATTTTTTTTTAATATTTTGATTTTTGTTTAACATTTTGTGTTGTGATGATGCAATATATATGGACTAGAGCTTGTGATCTTGCATTTAAAGACTAACTTTCGTTTCTTATTTATCGCAAATAAGAATATAGATGAGGTTTGCTTCCCTATTATACACGATGGATTAAATTAGATTTTAAAGCTTGAGTAATAGTTTTTATTTTTCATTAATTATAAAACAAAAGTGTTCACAATGGACCCTAAGCTTTCTGCAGATATGCTGAAGTAATTAACTTTAATTATGTGCCTCAATTGTTGTTGTTTGCTTCTATAGTATTAAGATTGAAGTCTGATATTTTTTGTTTTCCTTGTGTACTAATTGCCAGGCATTTGGAGAAGCCGAATTAGCTTCTATCTTGGATCTTACTTGGTGAGTAGCATTTATTATTATTACCATTATTTTTTCTGTTGTCAAAAGGATAAGTATATTCATTGTTTTTGGCAATTTTTGGCTTTATTACATGAATTAACTTTGAGAGCTTGACGGATAAGAGCAAGCTCGATGCACAACCTCAACTATTCATACACAGCATCCCCGACAAGATGAACATCAGTCCTGCTTATCTTATCTGCCCTTTACCCAACTCTCGTCGTCTCTGCCACATGCCCCTTAACTCATATACAGGGTAATAAAGGGGTCATTAAAACATTAAGAATTATAAAATACCGTCTTTGAGCAAATGCTTATATAATTTTGTTAGGATGCTATCTTGTGTTTTTTCAGGATTTTTATTTTACGTTTTTCCTCTTTCCCAATAATATCTTTCGTGGAGATTTTCTATATGAAGGTAAAAGTGTTCACCTTTTATATTTTAATCAAGGATTTTGTGGGGTTTATGTTATTTTTCATGTGTTTAAGATTATAAATATATCCATGATAAAAAAAGAGCATGTATGTATATTAAGAAAAAAATCAAGTTTGATGTTTTTTTTTTTCTTTTTCTTTACTTTGTTTATCGTTGGTATTTTCAGCTGGTAAATAGCCTCAACAATAAATAATTTTTTTATATTTATTTTTCATGTAAAGAAACAAAATTTTCAAACTTTCTTGCACAAGAATGATGAGAAACAACTCCCATGGTTTGGTTTGAATAGTTCACATATCTCTTTTTGGTGTTGCACTGGCACAATCAGTTTCAGGTTTTATTATCCTAACATGAGGGAATTTATTTTTGCTACCTTTCCATCAAGGTAGATTTTCACTGTATTTTTCCTTTGTTCTTAACGAGAATAAATATTTTTTTTCATGTATACAAACAGTAACTTTCAAACTCAGTCATAATTGATCTCTTGACTTTTATTGATG